TCTTCATGCCACTGTCTCATTCTTTCATTAATTTATCAACATTTAGTTTTATTAAACTAGGCTAGAGACCACAAACGTCAAATAATACAGTTGTAACTACCAGACAGAAAAATTATTATTCTGGGACAAGTTGTCATCTTTTTGTAGCACGTGTATTTTTTTTCCTTTTTTCTTGGTTAAAAACTCTTGAAACTGAAAATGGCTAAAACTCTTTGTCTTCAGTTTTTTTTCTTTTTTTTCTTTTTTTCTTTTTTAAAGAACGCAAAAATTTTACTAAATCTTTCAGTCTTCCTTAGTTAAAATTAGTCTTGGTCTTTCTTAAGCAAATCCTTTTATTCTTTCGTAGGAGATCGAGGAACTGCAAAAATGATTTCTACTAAGGTTTAAGCGCAACTATTGCCGTGTAGTTCATGTGCCACTTTCATTTTATGTATTTGCAAGTTTGGTTGGTAAAGCTTCTTTATATTTTTTAAAAATATATATATTTATTTATTTCTTGAAGACATACAAACTCTAAAGTCTTCATGCCACATTCATACACCGTTGAAAAAAGAAAAAAAAAAAGAAAGAAAGAAAAGAAAAGTCTTCTTATCACTGTCTCTCTCTTTCACTAATTTATCAATATTTAATTTTATTAATTACACTGGGCCAAAGATCTCGAACATGAACATCAAATAATAAAGTTGTAACCACCATTTCACCAAAAAAAAAGAAGTTGTAACTACCAGAAAAAAATTATTTTTGTGGGCAAAGCTTTTATCTTGAAAAATAATTGATATATCTCTTAATTTAACACACTTTTCAATTATTAAAATATAAATTAAATATTAATTTTGATCCTACAATTTTAAGATTTTATATAATTTTTGCTTCTCAACCTTTTAAAATACTTTTTTGATTCCTCAATTCTTTCAAGAGAAAAGTCTTCTTATCATTGTCTCTCTCTTTCACTAATTTCTCAATATTTGGTTTTATTAATTACACTAGGCCACATATCACAAAACATGAACATCAAATAATAAAGTTGTAACTACCATTTCACCAAAAAAATAGTTGTAACTACCAGAAAAAAATTATTATTGTGGGCCAAGTTTTTTATCTTAAAAAATAATTGATACACCCTTTAATTTAATATGCATTTCAACATTAGAATATATGTTAAATGTCAATTTTGATCCTTCAACTTTAGATTTTTGCATAGTTTCATTTCTCAACTTTTTTAAACCATTTTTATTATTCTTCAACTCTTAAAAAAAAAAAAGGCTTTTTTTTATCTTAAACAAAAGTTAAAAGTGTAATTAATACAATTTTTTGTAATTAATTTTTATTGAAAGTATAACTATTGACTTTGGTTTAATCAATTAATTAATTGAAGTTGTCCACTTGTAAGTAGTGTTAAAACATATATCAACTTTTATAATTTTTTATGTGAATTAATTATAAAAAATTACATTTATCATACCCTAAATTTGTACCCTTAGGATACCAATTAGATAAATCAAAAAAAGAAAGAAAGAAAAGTCTTTTTATCACTGTCTCTCGCTTTCACTAAT